TGCCACCAGTGGTGCTCCCAGGGTCACATTCCCAGCCAGCCTGCCATCACGGTGCTATTCATGGCCAAACACCTCCGAAATCTAAGTAGACAGCTTCGAGTCTTAACTCCAAGTCTTTCTTTCAAATGTCCACCAGGCGAAGCGCTCTGGCTGCGGGGCTGCCCACCTCATTCTCACTTCCATCTAGTCCATTCGGACTCATGGGGACCAAGTAGAGCTGCCTCGGTGAGTTTCCAAGCTGTAACCCCTCAAGGGAGCAGAAGGCCTCATCTCTCCCCCACTGAGTGGCTGGTGGATTTTAACTGCTGGTCTTGTGGTTAGCAGCCCAACAAGTAACGCACTATGCCACCAGGGCTCCTTCTTTGACCCACTAGGCACCTACAACTCAAGAACTCCCTGATGCTGCCCCACCTCTCTTCCTCAAATGTCACCATTCCAGTGCTCTCTGTAGATATCCAGCTGTTGAGATCTTATGTCTCGACCCCAAAAGGACCCCCTCTTTGCCAATGCTAAGCAACAGGTTGCAATTGCCAGAAAATCGGTACCCCCATGACAACCCTCGGTCAGCTTCATGGGAGCATGATAACTCTGAAATGGGCACTTTTGCGTCACATTCCAGAGTTTGCCTGGGGGCTGAAGATCCAGTTGCCCACAGTGGTCATTGGTCTGGATAACAAGCTTCCTATTGGCTTCCGTTTTCCTTCTCCACTTGTGGTAGTCACCTAGTCTGGTGTCAATTTAAGGATTAAGAGTGTAGGGGTGGAGTCTAGGCTGTCAATCTGGAGATAGCCAATGGGACTTCTGTGTGGGCATAGCCATCTCCTGAGAACTCTGGGAAATCTGGGACTCCTTGGAGGTGGAAGACACCTCTCTCACCCTGCTACTCCCTGGGAGACATTGTAGGAGACAACCCACATGGATGCAACCAGACCTCAGAAGCCACAGAGAGACCCCTGCCAGCACTGAGATGCTTAAAACACCTCTGGACCCAAAGACTTTCTACCCACTGGCTTGTGATGGTCCTGCATTTGGCTTCATTCATGTGTTTCGTGAGTCTAAAGAGGACTTTATAGATTGGTATCAGACATATGGGCTAATATCAGACTTATAATGTCAGCCTTGGACTGGACTGGACTGGGTGGGGATGTTTTCTCAATGTTCAATTCCTCTTGTATATAAACCTCTCCCTTATATACATATGCCTGTTTATGAATGTGTTTCTCTAGTCTACCCAGACTAACACACTCCTCCTCCTCTAGGGTTTCCTTGACCTTCCAAATGAACTGTCGGTACTTGGTTCCTGATCTCAAGATCTGTTCCTAGGGGAGCTCTATGACATTCATCGTCTCCAGCCCCACATCTACTTGTCTTCCTAGGGCCCTCTAGCTCAATGACCACACCCCCAAGCAGCTTGCCACTTGATTCAGAAAATTAGGCATCCATCACCCTAACTCCTCCTGTTTCCTTCCCTCTGTTGTTTGCCAGTTGATTCTCTATCCATTTGACTCAAATTCATCTCTACTTCCATGACCTGGATTCAAACCCTGATCACTGCAGCAGCCTTTTCTCAGCTGTCAAGTTCACCTACCTCCAATCAGTACAACACACTGACCACCAGTGTGATTGTTCCCATATGCAAACCTGCCCTGGTCACTCTTTTACTTAAAATGTTTCACTGGCTCCCCATTGAGTTCAGAAGAAAGCTCCTTCACAGGACAGAATGGGGGAACTTCACTTCCTTTTCTCCTTCCTTGGCAGCCTTTATTCAAATAATCAGTTCTGAGGTGGGACATATGGGGAATCGAACTTATATCAAGGATCTTTGGTGGTGCACTGGGTGAGCACTCAGCTGCTAATGGAAAGTTCCATGGTTCAAACTCACCAGCTGCTCCCAAGATCGGCTTCGAAACTGATTATAGCCTAGGAGACCCTAGATTCGACTCTGTCCTAAAGGGCCGAGATGAGTTTGAAGCAACTTCATGGCAACGAGTTTCATTCCGTTTTGTCTTGTCACTTAAAAGTACCCCCTGTTTTTAGACTTGCAGATCTGAAAAATCACCCTGACCCACCCTGACAGATGTTTGTTGATCTTTTCTGCTCTTTATTCCCTCCTTCCTTAGGTACTCATTTAATTGTAGGAACAGAATTCTTGCATATTAATGTCATATTTCAGTCCCAAAGCAGCCCCTACATATTCATCCTCTCTCCCCCTTCTGTCATGTGCGCGTGCACGCACACACACACCCCGCCCAGCCTGCCTGCGTAGGGACACCTCCTTTTTCCCTTGCCACACAGGGGCAGTCATTCAGGACACACAAAAAGTTGATACTGTACATTTCTTGGGGGGTGGGGTTCATGATGCCTGTTTATTTTGCATCAATCTGAACCCAGGGCATCTTTCCCGAAACCGTAAGCACCTCAAAGGGCAGCGACTATGACACACAACTGCCAGAGAGGATCAAACATTAACCCAGGGTTGCGATCTAGGCCAACAAAAGGAAGAGGCTGATAATTGCCTCCCAAGATATCAATCCCTACCGTATACACACAAGCCCCCTCAACACACACAAAACCTTTATGGCTCTTTCATCCATGAACTTGCCCAATTATAACTGCCCGGCTGTGGCTTTAGTTACATTCAGGCAACTGAGAACTCACAGACCTCATCTAAGCACTCAGGACATTTCTGAGCTCTGCACAAGTCTTTGATGGCTGAAATCGCTGAAGACACGGTCCTAGCCAACTCTGTCCACCATAAAGAAAGCCAAACCCATTGCCCTAGAGTCTGCCTTGTAGTGATCTTGCAGGACTGAGTAAAACTGCCCCCAGAGGATCTCCAAGGCTGTTGTCTTGACAGAAGCAGAAGGCCACCTCTTGCTCTTAGGAGGCAGCTGGTGGGTGCTAGCTTGATCCGCTGTGCCACCAGGGCACAAATATCATCAATTGTTCGGGCTCATTGAAAACCTCCAGAGCCCAACTGAAACTCGTAGGGATTGGTTTTTCTCTTAGTAGCTCTTAGTATCCAGTCTGAAGCTTTCATTGTGGGTCTTCCTGCCCCCCGGATAAATCCAATCCTCTTCCCTGTAGCTCTTCTTTTTAATCAGAAGAAATTCTGCACTAAGGAATGGTAGGCCCAAAGCCATCTTTGCTTCAAGAGGCACAGTGCCTGGGGCCCCCGTGCTCTTAGGGGAGCCTGGATTATATTTTCAAATCAGAAGGGAGAAAAAATATGCCCTTGAAGGACAGAGAAAGTATTTTACTATGCAACATTAATATATCTGTGTTTATACCAATGCAGTTGTAAAATGTAATATGCATTGATTGATTGATTGGAAAGGGACCACAAAGGCAAAAGTTCCCAGGGAAGTTTATAGGCCCTGTTTACTGCCATCCCAAGCAACACAACCTGGAGAGAATCCAGCTTTTCCAACACCCATATGGGTTCTCATACCAATGACAAAGGAGCCAAGCTGCTGCTGTTGATGGATTTCACAAGAGGGAAGTCATGGTGCCTTAGCACAGAGTTAGGACTTGGGGGTCTAAAACAGGCAGCTGGATTCCCTACAGCTCTCTGCTCAGATTAAAGTCATGATCTCTCTGCCCACTGTCGGATATATCTTCATCCTGTTTTGATTAATAGGGGGGGGGGGCTCTTTTACCTCTTTAGGGATCAATTAAGCCAATGTAATTGCATCCTCTGTTTGCTTAAAACATTTTTCCCAGAATTTTGATGTTATTGTCACTGTTGGTTTTGAAAATGCTCCATTGTACGACAGCTCTCTATCCTCTCTCTACTGGTCAGCCACCAGCTATCCATCATCTTTGTTAACTCCAGCTCTGAGTTCAATGTCTGGCCAAGACCAAGTGGTTAATAAATGCTAATCATCAGATTAATAAAGGAATCACCTCTCTGGCAAGTATGTGGAAATTTGATTATGTCCGTGGACCAATTTGGCTTATAATCATCTCACATTTTGTGCGCAGCCAATTCGCCTGGACTTAGAGTTGGCATTTTAGGCGGCTTTCTGGGCCTTCCCCACCGCCCCAACACCCCCTGTCACCAGCCAACCTCATCCTCTCATCTGGGGTCTGCCCCTCCGTCTTCTCCATCCTGGGATCTTGGATGGGTCCCCAGCCAGCTCAGGCACCCGAGCCGCCCGCCTCGTCGCGGGTGCCCCTTCCTCCTGCCGCCCGCGCCGCCCACCGCCACGCCCTCGCCGTGGGCTAGATCACCTGTCCCTCCTCTGCCGCCGCCTCCTCGGGTACACTTTCGTCCCCCTTGACTCCCCCTCCGCCGCCGTCGCCTCCCCAAGCCCTCCCCTTCCCCGCTCCTCCCACCCCTCGTGTATATAGTAAAGGCCAGCGCCGCACACAGCACACACTCGCCCGGACACGGCGCGCACACACTCACGCACCACCGGCGGCGGCGGCAGCGACAGCGGC